TTGTTGGTAACTTTAATAATCATTGTCTGCGTCTTCAAATTTCACACAAGTAAATAAGAATATGATGATCTTGTCTTCTATGTTAATTTACATTAAAAACCCGGTCCTCTAATGATCCTACTAGATCTCAAACATAGAGACAATCAATGAAGTAAGATTATTCCACAATAAAGGTAACATCTACTGAACAATGTGAGAAGACATTAAAATCAAAAGATTGATGCCTGCACATTAGGCAGGTTATTCCCCTACCTAGTGAATGAAAATGCCAATCAGTTGGATAATAATAACCAATAAAATAGAAAAGGAAAAACAGGTGCAAGATCCATGTTCCTAAGATAAAGATCTAAATGCAAATTATCATATTACGGTAACTCGAGCCTTTTTCCTGTGGCTATTTCAAGTCAAAAAGACATTGCCCATTAGTTGTTTATCTAAATTTTCTAAACCACGAGTGATTGGACACTGGATGTTGTCAGAAGCTACACCCAGGCAAAACAATGTAATTATTCCATCAATGTTCAAGGTTTATCCAACTATATTTCAAGTATATTGAACATTTTAGTTTGAGGGTTGAACAACTATCTGCTCCAATGAAGAAAGGCCATTCATTAGTGTAGAGTTCTACTATTGAGGATTGCAACAAGTGTTATACATGCTTCAGTAAGCATCATTATCTCTAATAATGTATGTGACTTCTTGAAAAGGTTCAAGTGTAAAAGTTTTGGCATGAGAGGACCCTTACATTTCAAGCTCTGGATCTCACTCCATGTGAGATCAAATGAGAAGATTCCTTTGTTCTTCTGTATTTCGGGGACCTCGGAGGATCGGGACATAAAAGTAGTCATTGCAGTCGTATCACCCATAAGGTCAGCTGAATCCAAGCAGAATGGAATTCCATCCTTCGACATTTGAACAGAACAATCAATTACATCAGCCCCATCCTCTACTGCCTTCTGATAAGCAAGATCTGTGCATCCAGCAAAGACCCCGCTTGCACCATTGTGTGTTATAATGAGCGGGTTCTCTAAAAACCATGGAAATCAAAAGTTAAGCACACATACTCCAGAAAAAAAGAAAATTTAAATAAATAACAACACTTGTAGTAACAATTGTAGCTTAACTCACTTTTTTTAGGTGGAGCATCCTTGTTATGAGCAAAACAAGCTGCATTGGGAAAAGAAAATATTAAAAGTATTAAAGTAGGCGATGATGTCGATATAGAAATATGGAAAATTCCTATGGAAAAAATAACCAGGTGCTTCATGTTGCCCTTCACAAATTGTAATTTTGAGCACCTAGAGCAACAATGTCAATATATGTGTAGCCATTCTTCAATAGATCAAAAACAGTACATGCATCTTTATAACGTTGAACAAACTCAGCCACTCACTACTAATACGTTAATGATAAATGACATGACAATTCTATCTTAGCAGTCATTATCAAAAGGCTAATTGACATGTTGACCTATAACTCCTATAGGTCAGAGTTTGTCGCCACAATATGAAGGAAAATATCTTTAGCAGATCTTCCATCAATATAAGTGACAACTGACAAGTCAGATTTGACTGGACATATTGTTGATAGGCTTCAACATGGTGACTTGCACATATATTACTTTCTTTATAGAAACCCTTCTCACTACGAAGTTATCAAGTCAAAATTGGGAAGGAAGTTCTCGATGTTGTTGTCTCACTCATAAGTCTCCATACAATAACTATGCACCCCCATTACATTTTTTGTTTCATTGTATGACATGAATATGCATGGCTATTGATGTCTTTGAAATTTAAAACCTACTGTTTTCATTAAGCAGAGATCATCTAGGATCCATTATGTAACGGACATTGCGACTGCTGTGTACCTGATATCTGCAACTTATGAGTGTACTTCAACACAATTGTTTAAGTGTGACAAAGTAGGATCAGCCCTGTAGCACAATAATGCAAAAAAATCTATGCTTCGTAGACAAGCGGTAGAGATTGGAGTCAATGCAACTGTACCTACGAATTGTCTGAAACGATCATGTTTGAAGCAAAATCCAGAGAGGACACAACTAATATATATGTAGAGGAATATGGATAGCTTTAGTACTAAGGACCAAATTTAGTCAATGATAGTGAAGTGGCTAATTCTCATCCACTCATTTAATGGGTGAGTAAATAAGTAGTGTATTTACTAGTACAGATGTATTCTTATCCACTCATTCAATGGGTGAGTAAATAAGTAGTATATTTACTAGTTCAGATGTATGCATTGAGTTGTCATTCATATATGAAAGAGCTCCACCCAGATGATCTGTAGGAAAATTTGCTCGAGTCAAAAGGGGAATAACATGTTTCATCTTACGTAGAGTTTTAATATGACTAGTGATTTGCACATTTGCAAGTCTGAAACGAATAAATACGTGTGTTGTGTATGGATGTGTTTGGACACCATTTTTTGCTTGGAAGAACTGCTCTACAAATCTGAGAGAGAGAAGGTCAAAGTGAAGAACTAAAAATGACCTTACTCAGCATGGATCTGAGCTAACCTTTAAATCCATTTGCATCAGAAGAAAATGTCTCCATGTCAAGAGTTGCCAATAGAGGCATGTAGGTGATGGTGAACCTACTTTGTAAATCATATGGTCTAGCTTTCATGTAACAAAAGAATAACCCCACACTCCAACTAACAAGGAACATCAGGGAAATAATAAAGGGAAATTATTCTTCTTACTTCACAACTTTGTTTTTTTAATGTTCACAGTTGATAGTTTTTAAGGTTCAAGTTTTTATTCTATAATAAGAGAGCATAAGTAGGACACTTAAAGAGATAAACATGTCAAGCCAGACAATTTGAATGTATATTTGCTCAAAAACCTAAATAATGTAACCAGAAAGTATGGACATATATGCTTCTATTAGTAAAGGATATTGAAGGCATGATTTCTGGGAAATATGTTTAGCCTCTGAAAAAGATTAGTTACGTATGATTTCAAATAATGAATTTTAATATAGGAATAATCAAAGAGAAGCAGACTACTCGGTTTATTTGTCCAGTTAGATTATAAAAAGAAGTTAAAAAGATTACCTATAGCTTCTGATGCAGTGGAAGGGAAGTCTGTGAGCACACCATCAACCGAAAAATCTGCACCATCAACAAACTGCAAATACTCGGCAATCGGATCATAGCTGTAATTATAGCTTGCAGGGGCATCATTTGCAAAACCAGATGCATAAACTTCAAGTCCCAGTTTATGAGCATCTGCGACTAGAGTTGTTGCAGCGCCTAGGTACTGATCTGAACCAACAGGCCATATATAGTTCTTGGGAACAAGGATCCCAGAAGCAAATGACTTGATATTGTTCAGATCTTTTAGTAGAGAGGCATATGTTGATTTAGTTGAAGGTTCAACAGCATCCTGTTCTAGGAAACGGAAAATGAGCTTTGTCTTGCTCCCTTTGTAACTTCCTCCAATGTCTTTTAAGAAATTAATTTCTGGGGAGGAGATGAAGCCGATTCCAGCCTCTTTTAATGCTTCTGATATAAATTGCCCTGCATCTAAATTGTGCTCCTTCAGGAATGAGTTGAACTGCAGCAAAAATAGGAATACACAAGATTCTTCAGCTTTAGGGCAACCAGCATGTCATATGTTAAAAAGCAACTAATCATTTTCATCATTCAAGCCTAATGACCCTTATCATATAAAAGGATGTTATTGTTGGAGAGCAATTCTTGGTTCAAGGAAGAGCTACCAAATGGGTCAGCCAAATTTTATGATCTCTTAGTGTCAAATTTGATGCAAAAGAACTAAAGTCAAGGATGAAACTGTTGTAAAACCTAAGAGCTGTTAGGTTGGTAAAAAGCTATGCTTTGAGACCGAAGATAATTTTCTTTTACGGATTCTCTTAAACATGGAACGTGTCATTGAGGAAATATAATGAAAGCGCCTCATCAACACATATTTTTTTTCATTACAAAAAAGATAATGCAGATACATAACATTTTGGGAGGAGGGACAAAAAAAATAATAACTGGAGAGTCAGTCAGTTGACAGTTTTAGAATAAATCTTGAAGAACTGATGAGATCATGAGAATATCAAAATTTTGAACTAAAAGACAGAAAAATATAGTAATAGAAAAAGTTTAAAAATTGGGTTAAGATACCTGAACATTCAACCAAATTGCAGGGGGCTGGACAGAAATAACATCTCCAATCAAAGGGATTGGGCTGGTCATATCAAATGCACTTGGTCGAGAAAGGATATTCTGAGACACTTCAGGAAGAACATAGCAATAATAAACAAAAACTATCAGATAAGAAACTCAAAACATCAATAAACAACAAAAGGAATTACTCATATAAGTTCAGAAATCAATATCAAAAAAGGAAATTAGGACTTGTTTCTTACCACTGACTTGATTAAGTTCGTCACCAGTAAAATCCACTGCAAACCATCCAGTGATGCTCTTACCATTCACATTGTACGTCTTCTGTCCTTTGGGAAATACTGTGGCAATGTTCGTGGAGTTATCCAGCCGGATATCTGTCTTGCAGAGACCAGCACCATCTTTTGCCAATTGCAAGTTGCAGTAAAGTACAACATTCTCCACACTACTCATCATTGCAAACTTGTTGGCGAATTCCGTCGACTCTGGGAAGAGCCCAGAGTACCCTCCACGTGCTATGACCAAAGGAGCATTTCCTGCAAATGAATTTCACCAATTGAATCCTATGGCTTCAGTAATTTGATGTCAAGCATAAACCAAAAGTATGATAGAGAACCTAGATGACAGATGAAAACTATAAAACATTGGATACCATGATTATACTTAACAAAGCGGACATGTACACGCGATTAAAAAAACACTTCTAGTGATGCTAAGAAAATTTAAATACAAAGGAAATAAAAATAGAAATACAAAGCTTAGATTGTAGCCGCTAACAATTACTTTGATAAACTTTCTGTGAAACCTATAATTCTGTCGATTGTGGAAGATCTTAACCAGCATTCTACTACATTGATTTATCAATATAGTGAATTCATATATGGGATCTTCATTTTCTATAAAATATGAATAAAGATCGATTCAAAATAAGGCCTCAGATGATGGTTTGATCTCAGTATTTCTTTATACTGAATTCTCATTATAGAAATCATCCTGAGAGGAAAAAAAATTCACATTTCAATCAAACCAAATTAAATTAAACAAGAATCTGTAGATTTTACCGCTCAATGTCGGCCATTTGGGAGAATTATTAGCTGCAGGGATCGCAGCAGCTGCAGCTCCATGGATCAACAAGAGAATCAAGAAGAAGCCCCTTATCATTATCCTCCAAACCCTAGATTATCAACACAACAGTCATTCCAAATTGAACGAAACCGAAACCATAATTTATTAAGTAAAATTGAAAAAAAAAACCACCTTGTGATCGTAAATCAAAAAGAGGAGCCACCCAGATCGTGTTTTAAAGAGAAAGATGAGGATCCCTAAGTAGGGGAAAAAAACGAAAAAAGAATATAAAAATTTGTGAGGACAGAAACTTCGCATGACCTGTAGAAATTTGTTTGGCTTTTGAACTGTCGCCCTTAAATCTCTCTCGATCGTTCCCAATTTTAGTAATTATTCCTATTTGTAACCGCCCGATCGAAACTCCCGCTCCCTGCGACGGCTTCGTGTTCATCGATCGATTCATTTCGTTTCCTCTCTCATTCAATTTTTTTCTCCTATTTTTCCTTTTTTTTCGAGTCATTTCCCGTGGATCGATCCTCTCCCGCCTTTTCCTAGGGTTTTCTCATTTCTATTTCCTCGTCTAGCCGTTGGAATGCAACGAGAAGCGATCATTGGTTCATTTGCACTTTGGTGCCCTACACTTTATACCTTTGCACTTTAGCGTATAAGTAATTTGCACAGTCACCTAATAGGAAGTAATTTGCAAATAGAATATTTACATAACGGAACTCGACGACGTGATCCTCAAAAGAAACAAATGTGTTCCTCGATTCACAGTTCCTCCAAAACATTATTTGCAAGGGTTTAGCCCAAAAATTAATAATCAGAAAGAGAGTTTGGGCCAATCTAAATGGGTTTAATCTAAACCCGAATCTATTAAGATGATAATGATACCAAAATATACACTACCAACACAGGAGGAAAAAAAAAAGATTGCAATTGCAGCGGGGATCCTGAGTCTGCCCGACAAAAAAAAAAAGAGAGATGGGCGGTGATTTTTTATCCGCTTTCGATTAAACATTGACCAATATCTTTCAAAATTTTCTACAAATTGAAGAGCTTAAATTCCCATTGAATTTTGAGAGAATTTTTCACTAAATCTAGAGACAATATTGGTGTACTTTATGAATCCTAAAGGTACAAAAATTTCCCCTCCCATTCTCATATTGTTGTTGTGATTTTTGTAAGGAGGATTTTTTGAAAGAGACTGATATTGATAAATATTTAGCAAAAATGACCATGTTGCTAAATATTAAGCAAAATCGACCTCTTTTTGCCAGCTCACTAAGGCTGGTCAAAAAGAGGCGATTTTGCTAAATGTAAGTTTTAAAACACACGGGACTACTAGTCCTATGTGCTTAGTGGTTACTAATTGACGCCTAAATAACATACACAAAACCCACAAGACTAGTAGCCACATGGTTTTTGTGCACAGCGGCAGATAGAGTTGGGTGGGGATGAAGGAGTGGGTGTGATTCTAGGTGCACAAATAACAGTGTTGATTGAAAGCGAGGGAGAGGGAAGAAGTTAAAGAAGCAGATATTTTTCTTTTCCCCCCTCGCTTTAATTTTATTCCCTGCCAACGAAAACCCCGCTCTTACTTGCTCTCGTAATAATGGTTGTTGGATGGAAAATAAGCAAGCTTTTATCTCAAATGAAACAACAGTTTCCAAACAGTATATTTACCACCCAAGCTATGCATATAGTCGTCATCACACTAATCATGTACTAATTTGGCGTTTGTCTCAAAAGGATTTGTCACTGTGCACAAAACCCATGTGATTGCTAGTCCCGTGGGTTTTGTGTGTGTTGTCTAGACTACGATTAACAGGCACTAAGCACACGGGACTAGTAGTCCTGTGTACTTTGAAACATAGAATTGGTTGGGGATGAAGGAGTGGGTGTGATTCTAGGTGCACAAATGGCGATGTTGATTGAGAGGGAAAAAGTTAAAGAAGCACACATATTTCTTTTTTCCCCTCGCTTTAATTTTATTCCCCACCAACGAAAACCCCCACTCTCACTTGCTCTCGCAATAATGGCTATTGGATGGAAAATAATCAAGCTTTTGTCTCAAATGAAACAACAATTTCCAAACAGTATATTTACCACCCAAGCTATGCATATAGTCGTTATCGCACTAATCATGTACTAATTTGGCTTTTGTCTCAAAGGATTTGCCACTATGCACAAAAACCATGGGACTGCTAGTCCCCCGGGTTTTTTGTGTGTTGTCTAGACTGCGATTAACAACCACTAAGCACATGGGACTAGTAGTCATGTGTGTTTTGAAACCCACGTTCAGCAAAATCAACCTCTTTTTAGTTAGCTTTGGTGAGCTGACCAAAAAGATGTCGATTTTGCTTAATATTTAGCAAAACGGTCATTTTTATTAAATATTTATCAAATTCAATCTCTTTTAAAAAATTCTCCTTTTTTTAACAATTTGTATTGAATTTTTTGTGCTTTATTTTTTAAACTATTTGTATTGAATTTCTTTTGTAAACCCTAGATGTAAGTAGTTTATTTAATTATTTGTTTGATTATCTATATATCGTATTTTTTTAATAAATTGTTAGTTGATATGTTTGACAAATAATAGAAGCTTGATTCATTTTTTAGAAAAATAGTATCAAGTGGAGAAAGTAGGACGGGCGAGGTGACTATTTTACCTTCATTTATAGGATTGATTTTTTTTATTTTAATTTACATTTGTAATCAATGCCAATTCTATGCATATGTTTTCGTGAATAATTTTTATAGTACATTTCTTTTGTTATCGTGTTTATATATTTTTAAACCCACCTGAAGTTAAATTCTTGGCTAGGCCACTGGTTACTAGAAAAATAAATGTGATAAATAAGAATAAACAAACAAATAAATAAAACAAACGTGTCGTATATAAGGTTTTTCAAATTTTCAAGACATAGAATGCATGTTAAAATATAGCCTGTGACAGTAAAAAAAAAAGTAACAGTTGTTAATAGAAAGTTATCACGCATCAAAAAACATTATACCTGATTCATGATATATATATAATAAGATTTAATATATGTCATTTATTATCAAAGAACTAGTGGGTTGTGAGAGGAGCTGCGTCGGTTCACATGTTTATCGCCATGGGAACAAATGTGCCTCTTTGGTATCACCATGGATTGCCTTCATCAAGTGCAATATCCTCACCCAAATTTTTTATTAGCTTGCGTTTGGATGATGCCTTGGGCACATGTTGACCGCGAGAAGCATGGCGTTGTGGTTGTTTTCTTTTATTTTCTAGTTTACCGTAAAAAGAAACATATATCATTATTGTTAATAAATACATTATATGTAACAGACAAGATTTTTTTGGAAATACTAGTACAGTTTGATTTGGTAAAGATTAATTAGCATATATGTATGTGTGTGTTACTATTGATAATAAAAGTTGTTCTTCATTGCAATTTACTTGGGAAACTTTTCTCCCTTCTCTTCTTCCAATTGTACAGAAAAAAGAAATAGTTACTTCAGAAACCTTTTTTTTTCATTCGTATTTCATAGAAGGTTGTTTTTTTTTAAACAAGAAGTAGGGTGAGGTACCCTACTCATAAAACATGATATATTAAAAAGGAGAACGATTACAGAAGGATAGAGTGGAAGAAGAGGCAGCAACTGCTACCTTAGCTGGGCATCGGACAACGCCAACACCAACCCAAGGATAATAGCAGATCCTCAAGACAACAGTCCAAAAAAACAGCAAAAATATAACAGTATACTGCCACTCTTGAGGTCATGACAAGCATAACAAAACATCCACAAAATATCAAAGTTTATATACTTCATATGCTGGAAAGAAGAGAGAATAGGAGCCTGAACTGATTTAGTAACCTGGGGTGAAGTCCTCCCCCACTGCGTCTTCCCCTACCGCATTTGCCAAGTCCTTTAAACCCAGATGGACTGCTGCAGCATGGGATCTCTGAGCTCTCCTGCTACTGGATGCTCTTGTCCAAAATAGAGTAAATCGAGCGATGTTAGAGGCAATAGACTGGGGGTGACATGGATATTGTTGAAGATGAGGTTATTGCGACTGGTCCATGTGCACCAACAAAAACAAGGCAATAAGACCCTCCATAAAGCTCTATGGTTGAGATTGGAAAGGAATCTTCTCTTCTGAGATATCATATATTGCAACTCCTGGGGCCAACAGTAAGCATTTCTGTTTGGAAGAAGGATTGACCGGCAACTGAGGAGAGAGGGCAAGAGATAAAGAGATGATCTTGGGTCTCTGTTACCAGGTTGCAAAATGGACATGAAAGGTCACCATTCCACCCTTTTTTAGACAAGTTCTCTTTTGTATGAAGTTTCTGCTTGTTGAGTATCCAAAAGAAAACTTTAACCTTCAACGGGGCATAGGATTTCCATATAAAATTGGAAGACTGGGAAGTGATACCGCCATTGTTGAGGAGGGAGTAAAAAGACTTAACTGAGAAGGTCCCTGATGGAGTATGTGGCCACTATATACTATCGTGATTTAAACTGGTCGAAGGCTTGAAGTGCTCAATGAAGGAAAGGAGATCAGCTATGTCTTTTTATCCTCTGCAGTGATACCTCTTCTGAGGATAGTGTGTTATTTCCATGAATGATTATACCATATTTCATAGAAGGTTGTTTGTACAACATGTTCTAAAAAACATTATGACTCATTGTTTTTTCAGAAAAATAACTTTTGTTAAGACGCTTCAAAGTTAGCAGATTTATGAATGTACTTCTAATTAAGTTTTGTATATTTGTTCTATTTCGATGTACACGAATGTCCAAAGTACAGTATATGCTTGCAAAGAAATGTACGTATTCATATTTAAGATCTACTAGTATAGTGCACGTGCTTTTCACGAGAGCATATCTACTTTGTTTTATGTTTTTCAAAATTTTTTGTTGGCTGCAAAATACTAAAATGACTCGTATAGCAATATAAATTCTGAACAATTACAATTTTTTTAAATGAATAGATTATACGATAAAATTGTGTATAAAGAATTGTACGATACATTATTATAGTTTAGATAATTGTTATAATTTATTCATAATTTATTAAAATAATTGTAATATATTAAATATTGTATTCTCTTTAAATATAGTAATATTATACATAGCATAATTACAATTCTATTAGTAACTGTTGATGCTCGTAAACAAACAGTCGATGAAGGTTTCCCGCTGTCGGATGCAGCTGCGGTCCTGGCGACGATGGGGAAGAAGGAGAGGATGAATGTTGGGACTGGCTCCTCCTCTGACTTTATGTCCGATTCTGAGCGCGTGGGGTGGACTGATAGCCTGCACATGCAAGAATCGTAGGAATACAGGGCTAGTTTCCCCCGTGATACCTCCGACGGTCAAGTCAGTTGATGGACTCAAGGAGGGTTTGAAGAGAGGCCCCTGGGCAATTGAGGTCCTTGCAAGGGGTTTAGCTGTTGGAAGTATTAAAAATACAAAAGGGAGTAAAGCTCAGGTGCAAGAAGAAGTTGCAAACCTCACTAGCGTTACCTTTCTTACCTCCCTTTATAGCCCACTTGCCTTTGGGAGCTTGACCATTGGCTTTTGTATGCACAGGAGGCGATTTGA